CTGTCCGAGACCGCGCTCCGGATGGACCGGGCCGGCGACGGCGAGGCGGCGCTGCGGCGGGTGGAGGAGGCGCTGCGCGCGGCGGAGGGGGAGAATAAGGCGAAGGAGGCGAGGGACGTGAGGCTCATCATGGCGCAGATTTTGTTCCTGCAGAAGAATGTTGACGAAGCGTTAGGGTTTTATAACGATTTGACGAAAGAGGATCCTAAGGATTTCAGGCCTTACTTCTGCAGAGGTATGATTTATAGTTTGCTTGATCGGAACGACGAGGCTAAGGAACAGTTTGCCAAATACAGAGAGTTGAGTCCCAAGAAGTTTGAGGTGGATGGTTATTTGAGAACCCCTTTGTCCAGGATGAAGCTCTTCAGCACTGATGAGAGCTGATAAATTTTTATTTTTCATTAAAATAATAAATTTGCAGCAATTGGAATATGGGTGGATTGGAAAAGGGTTTTGGGGCTGATTTTGTGGGGTAAAGTGAGTTCAATTCTTTTGCTTTTGCTGTGCTTTGTAAACTTGTTTGTATTTTTAGTGAGAATGAATCATACGGAAATAAGGATTATGATTGTGATGCCAGTAATAGTAGGGTTACTTTGCCTTTGTAATTTGGTACTCATTCAACTGTTTTATGAATTTTATCGTGTTATCTCTCTCTTTTAGTTTTTGCTGCCTCAAATGAAATTACAAAAACTAGAATGCTTGTGGGAAGATATTGATTACATGAAATGTCTTGGCCGAAGAAGGAATGAGCTCAACAATTTGTATGAGAAAGGGAGATGAAAGACCCGAGGGATCTCTGATAAGCCAAATTGCTTGAGTTGCAGAACAGTCTCTAATATTTATCAAGTTATTAATTTTGGTTGTGGTGAGTTGGTGACTTTCTGGGAGTTTGAATCAGAGGAAGGATGGAGATAACTTTTGGTTTGGTTGAAGAAAAGGAATGGAAAAGAAAATATACTTGTTTGTTCAAAGGAGAAGAAAAAGAAAGATTAGATTCCCACTAATAAAAATTAATAAAAAAGGAGAAGAAAGAGAAAATATCCTTCCAAGTAATGAAAAACATGTTTTATATATCCTCGATAATTTAATCTAAGTTTATATATTTTTTCTCCTTTTAAATTTAAGATAAATTTATTTATTTTTCCTTCATTTAAAACTATATTTTTAATCTTTCTAACTTTTTAAAATCTTGTTTTAGTTTTAAAATTTAATATTTTTTAGAGAATTTTTAAAATATTGTCATAATAAATCTATATAATAATATCTCTATCAATAAAAATATAACATAATTATTTTGATTTGTTATTTTTAAATATGCTATTAGTGATTTATGAATTAAAATAAATTTTTAAAAATTATAAGATTAAAAAGATTAATTATAAATATAAAGAATTAAAAATAAATTTATTTTTAAATTTAAGAGTCTAAAAATATGTTTAAAATTTTAATTTATATATATAATTATAACAAGAATTTTAAAATTATTATTATTTTTATGCGTCAATCTAGCCTTTAAATTATTATTGCAATTCTCGAAACAATAAGATTATAAAAGTACTATTGATCTTGTAGATCAATCGGTGTGAAATTATTTAGATTTATTAGTAATTTTAAGTTCAACGTTAAATAATAAGATGGAAGAGCTTTGTTCATATAAATTTTCCTTCACTCAAGTAGAATTATATATAGAAGAGGGTATATATACCTATTTAAAAAAATTATACAAGCGAGGTTAAGACAAAGGAAAGAAAAGATAGAAAAGAAAGGAAAAATAATTATAAAGACTAATTTTAAGTTTGATGAAAAAAAAATTAAAAAAAAGTATAGTTTTTTTTCCTTGTTCACTTGTGCAAAAAAAGAATAAAATATGTATTAAAAGATATAAACAAATTTTTTTTTTGAGAAATGGTATAAACATCCTATATAAAGAATGGGATGTGATATAAATAAGAATATTTTAGTTTTTATATCCTTTGTTTCCATCCTTGTTGGAGCAGTCGAAGCATTGAAAAAACGAAATATTGGGTTGATTTCCGTGGAATCCAACAAAGCTTTTGGGAGTGGCAGTGGGGAGGGTAAGAGCACTTTCAAGTTTAATGGAGATACCATGTCTTTTTGTTTTCATATAAAAGCATCTCACTTTTTTCGTCACTTTCATAAATAATTCTCCTCACCACTTACAACTTACAAGTTGCACTATTTTTATTTTTTACAAAATCAAAGAATGAAACTTGACTTAAAATTGCCTAATTTTCCCACACGTACAAATGTGATTTTGCATGCAGCATATATACTTCACGTTTACATGAGGCAGAACTCTAGGGTTCAACAGTATTGGAAAACATGCATTAATACTGTAAAGATATTTTAAGGCGTGTTTGGTAGAGAGAAAAAAATATATAGAAAGTGAAAGTGTTTAATACAAAAAGAAAGAAAAATAAATAAGAAATAAAATGAATATAAATACTTTTGATTGAAAAGAAAGAATATAAATTAAATTTAAGAGTTATTTAATTTTAAAAACAATATACAAAACTACTATTTATTTTAATACAATAGTTTTCAAACTATTTATACAAAAAAAAATATCTTTAAAACAGGATCAATTAAGTTTTAATAAAATGTTTGAAAATTATAATTAAAATATTATGTACTCAATAATAAATAAAAAAAAGTCATGTGATCATTTGATGATGTTGATTAATTAAAAAATCACATTTAAAATGGATGACTTAAATTTATTCTATCAAAATTAATATAGTGATTTTTTAATGAGTAATCCTAGTAAATACAATAAAATTTAAACTTAAAACCTCATGTATACTATCTTAATTCTTCCACTACTAAACAAATCCTAGTAGTTCAAGTTAATATTATGATGAATATAAATTTTAAAATAGATATTGTGATGTGATTTAAATCTTTTTTTTTAATTGTTCTTTCTAGCTTATAAATAAACACTAAAGCAATTTCTTGTTAGTTTTAATTTTTTTTTAAGATCTCATCATCTTATCTTAACTACAATGAAACACGCTCAAGGGAGTCCTACATTACTACAAAAGGATTCAACCAGACAGTTCTTCATTTATGGTCAAAAGACCAAAAAAGGTCCACAGCAAAGAAAGCAAAAAATAAGGACAGATCAACCAGAATCAGTTTGAAGGTTGAACACAAATATTCCTACATATCTGCATGATATATATTAAAAATCTGACCAAGATTTTCATAAGTACATCTTCACTTCTTACCCTTTCTCTTTCCCTTGC